AGCAGTCGACCAGCCGCAGCCCCATCGACTGGCCCCATCAGCCTAGAAATCCGTGTCTTTCCCAACGCAAGCTTCTCCGAGGCCATGGCAGCAGTGTCAAACCAATTATTTACTTTGGGTGCGTCGGGCACATTTTTCTCTGTTTCGGCTGAGATGAAGAGACCCGAATTATTTACTCGCTCTCTTCTCTGTGGCCAGTCTTTCATTGTTATAACAAATATCGCCGTCTCTTCTATCATCTACGGCAAAATTGGCCAGTATCTCGCCAGTCCAGCCTTAGGATCAGCCGGCACTTTGATTAAAAAGATATCATACGGCATCGCATTACCAGGCTTGATTGTAACAGCCGTTCTTTGGAGCCATGTTGCGGCGAAATACTGGTTCGTCAGAATACTTCGCGGCACGCCACATCTCCAATCCAATACAGTCGTGCACTGGTCTGTCTGGATTGGATCTATGCTTGTTACTGTTGTATTTGGATTTATCATTGTTGAAGTTGTGCCCTTTTTCGACAATTTCTTGAGCTTAGTTGGCGCACTTGTGAATCCCGTGTTTACTAATATTCTTCCTGGCTTCATGCTTCTTTATTATCTTGCTAAGCGACCTGAAAAAGCAGCGGAGAGGATTCAGAATATAGACACAGAAGAGTCGATTTCGGCGAGAAGATGGCTACTGGAGGCATTCAAAACATATCGCAATGGGTGGAAGGAGGTGGTTGTGTTGAGTGTTGCATATTTCATGATACTCACGGGGTTCCTCATCATCGTTGGAGGTACTTATGCAACGGTGCTAGTGATCCAGGCCTCCTATGATGAAGGAAGCGTATCGGGAGTCTTCTCGTGTGCAGACTCCTCCTAGGGTGTTTAGAAGCGATCCTATGTATTCAATGAACATCGCAGTGCAATGTAAAAACTTGTTTTGTGGACTTATCAATCTAAAACTTCAAGCCCTACGGATAAGTTGTTGTTATCTTTCTTTATTAATAAGAAAGGAAACGACAGATTTGAACATTTTGATAGTGAATCCCTGATGTAGCAATATGTAACATGTCACCAGTACAGTAGCTGTATAAGTGTTCTTGCCGGTGGTATTTACGATTTTTATCACCGAATAATACACGGCCATACACGATTTGTATGAAAGGTATGAAGTCGTGATAGATTCTCGATGTTCATAGTAGATACGGAATTGGCAAGAAGAGTAAGAAAAGAATGCACAACTGTACGGAGAGAAGGGAAGACAGATGGGAATAGAAATTGTAGAACACTAGCAATGACGGATTCACGGACGTAAGAGTGGCCTGAAACAATTTGCACCCTACTGGGGCATTATGATAATGTTAATCGCTAAAGCAGTATGTGCTGGATTATGCTTCTGATTGAAAGCCAACATACCAAGCCGTCTTCCCAGGCATGCGCTGTTTGAGACGGGGAATATGGTGCTCTAAAGATTGGCAGCAACAGTACAACCAAATGTAGTCCCAACCCCTCTGGCGCTGCCAGCCGCATGCAATGGGTGGTATTATTGATCAATGAGAACGCAGTAGCAGAACATCTGGACTTAGGAAACGAACACGCATGCGCTAAATTTACCGGGAAGAAGACACTAAGAATCCCATTATGGTGCACCTGGGGTGGCTGCTCTGCATCAAATTACCTGAATACACTCACCATACTCCCAGAATCACGTCAAGTGATATATGAAGACCTGGCCTAGAACGGCTTTCATATGTCAATAGACCAGCCATATTAGCCTACGGAGTTTCTTTCCATATTTGTTAAACCGCTATTACCTAGTGAAGGCCAGGATCTATGGAGCATTTCCACATACGCTGTTGTTCCACTATGCTTTGCAGTTAAGTCTCTCACTGATCTGAAAATAATATTGCCTGGATCAAATACTGTCCAAGGATTTGAATTGACAGGCCATCGTCCAAGTGTGGTTTTGTAAACATGAGAAAGTAATGTCGCTAGACGACATAAACCAGGTACGATGACAAGAAGGGAGTGGAGAAAGGAGAGCGCCTATTCTTCTTCAGACGAGTAAACATGTTGACTCAGTCCAACTTATCAACTGCAACCTGAACGGTGCCTATGGCATCCTGGCTGCTCCACGATCCGACATCGACCATGTATCCTTCGTCCCGTTCATCGACGACAAATTCATTATCTCCACCCCAAGGGCAGTCCCAGTGGATCTTGCCAATCTTGGTTTCACCGTCGTATATTTCGAAACCGCCCATCGTTCCAGACGGCGAGCCTTCTCGGCCACATGAATTGATCTTAACAGACTCATTTGATCGGGCCGTCTTATTGTCCACCTCTGAGTTCGAGATCTCGTTGTCCTGGTCTCCATCCTCGTGCCACTTGCCCCTTGTGCTCTGTTAGAGGAGAGATCAGTTGCACTTGACTGGTAAAGTGATTATCTTCTTACCAGGAGAGACTAGCATTCCGGATACTCAAGGTGGAAGACATGGTGTTTAGAAGACAGATGCTGACCCACTTCTTGGAAGACATTTTCGCAAGTGAGCTTTGATATCCTGAGCAATAGAGATATAGAACTGAAATCAAGGCAGGTGAAATAGTCGGAGAGACCGGTTGATTAAGGAATGAAGATCTGTTCTTTGCTGGGGCCCCCATCGCGCTTTTATATGTAAAAGGACCCTGCGTCTGGAGATATTCCAAGGAAGCCTTCATTGGTCTACAGAAACGCCTAGCAGAATGAAGTGTTCTACGGAATATCACGGGTGAAACTGGACTCAGTTCATTGACCATGGCATTGGGCATAACAACGGCGCACATGCCGCTCACATCTTCTAACCACACCTGTCATGTTTTGGTTTACTGGATCAAATTCTGCTCGTCAAGAGCTGAATTGCTGCGTGGTGATCATAATATCACGCAGGTCATGCAATCAGAATGAAGTAGTCACCACAGCAGCCAAGGCTGGCGCGAATACATACATCGGCCTAATCTAGACATATCCAATATTCCTATTCGCCCCTAATATTGGATCGAATACGAATGCCTCCTAACGCTCCTGGCTAGTCCATTCTCAGGATGTACAGATCGGGCCCCACCCCTCTATGGGCTTACTACCCCTCGTATCGACACTAGCTATGAGGTAGCTGCTCGGACCTCGTCTTTGCCGATCACTCAAGTGGGCCCAGGCCAACTCACTCTGCTACACGTACACTTGTCGTCCTTGCACGAGATCCCCTCTTCAGCTCCTCCTCTCTGGAATCGGTGGCAGACCGACATTTCTATATATCGTATCGTTGGTCACAATGCTGTCACGACATGATGGGTCTCTCTCTCGCTCTGCAGGATACTAGGAACCTAGATATGCCCCGGAAGATAAAATAGAGACGACCAGAAGTTAAAGTGATAAGTCCAGGTGTACTCGTCCAGAATTCCTTTTTCACAAAGTAGAACCCTGCTGGAACTAGATATTTTGGCTAGTTAACGTGGCACCTTATCAGTATGTGCCCATTGCACGCCTGTGCCGCAACGGGCTGTCCCGGCCTATTCTATCTGCAGAAAGTCATTGGTACGCAGTTTGGTTTAGTGTTCGAAGTGGATGCATGCATAGGTTAGTGCGGTGAAAAAGGATTCCATGGAAATTCCCGCCAGCCAAGTGGCCGACCCCCACATTTGGTATGCAGCATGGCTCCCCTTTATGTCCGAGATCGTGCCCGATGGCTGCCTGAGTGTGTCGGGAACACTTGTGTGTACCTAGTATGCCAATGTGAGTAAAGGTAGGTTCTACCACCTAAAATTCTCCAAAAAATACGTATACCGTTGATAACTGACAAACCATGTCAAGCTGCCTCTGGTTATGAATATCCAGAAGCATGAAATGAATAGCAGAGGCATGGTAGGTAGTATACTGATAACACAGCTTGCTGCCTTGGAATACAGAGCCTTTTGCGCTTACCTTGATATTAGTCCTAGAACTTCCTTCGAAGGAGATCTGCCTTCTTTAAATGCCGTGGGGGCTTGGCATGTTCGGGGTTATTATGCATGCTTACAGTATACTCGAGGCCTGAGACTTGCCGTCGAGCTGATGATCGACACCAGTCTTTGAGGTAAAATCATGCCAAAGTTGAGTAAAACGCTAATCTATCCTGACTACCGAACCATTCTTCTGCGGAAACTTTCCATACGCAGCTGAGGGCCTAGTGTTGTCGACCACGGCTGATCTGCAGGATCCAAGCTAGTGATCATTACCCAGAATCAAAGATATTCAGGGTTGGTACACGCTACAACCGGTGATATATAATAGATCAAGGTATTCGTACCAGTCACTGACGACCCGGCCTACTGGGTGTGGCCATACCGAGTCACTGTTAAAGACTCCAGGATACATCACAACTATGCAGTAGCATGCAAATTACCCGTTAGCTGAGCGAAACAACTCATTCAAGCATGAGACCACCTGGCACAAGCTGTGTGGAACTCGAGCTGAAACATGAGATACGGAGACATACCGCACAACTCACAGAGAAATGACACCGAATACATATGAGACTTAAAGGCTACATCTGAACAGTAAGAAGACAAACAACAGCAAGATAATCCTTGGCGTATTTCTTCGGCACTGTTCACTTGTGTTCTTGTCATACCAAACTGAAAACCCTCCTTCTAATCATGTTCGATGCGTTCAAGTAATTTTGCTCAAAGCGTCACGCACCATGCCTGGATGCCTTGGAACTTGGCACGGCCAACAAGAAATTGGGTCAGAATACGGAACGGATCGTCGCTGCAAGCCACGTTTTGTCCTGCAAAACACAATCACTCGACAGATTTCCCGCAAAAGCTGCTGCATGATGTGTTGGCAGGGTATTCCCACTACCAGCCCTGATTAGGTTAGAACGTAGGAAGAGTCTTCCGGTAGCTTGGTGGTCCGACACCGTCTCAGGATTGTTGTTGGGACTTAAATTAGATCAACAGTGGAAGGTCCTCGTTATCTGCACGCATTGAACTAGAAGAAGAGCTCTGGCTCTTAGTGGTGGGACAGTCTTCACGACAGGCTGCTAGTAGTGACACGTCATCACTGCTGCATTCAATGCATCGGGGCGACCGTAGGAATATCCTCCCTGGACCAGAAGGTTTCCTTCTTCTGCATGCGTTTATGAGTTGCCAATGGAGGTGTAGCAGTTCTGCAACGCACTATGATGAGAAACTCTCTGTATATACGCAACTTCCTTTGCAACGTTCCTTAAAAATAGAAGGGAAAGAGTTCTACTAAAGTATCTATCCTCGCTCACGGTCTTGGTATAAATGGCCGGAGGAATGTCTTCTCTCTTGCCTAATCAACAGCTTTCTGCAGACTTGAGCTTCACCTAGAGCTTATCTATCAGATCTAACAATCTCTTTCCCTCTTAATACATCGCTCTCTTCTGGTCGGCATTATGACCGAAGCTCCACGTGAGCACTTTGCTGACAGAATTGTCATCGATCCTCGTAAATCCAAAGCCAAGGATAGAAATCTACGTGATGTGGCCGATGGTATTGTGCTAGTCGGTCAGTTCAGCGAAGTAATTGATGACGCCACTTCTCTAGTGTTTGACGTGGAGCTTCTGTCGGCCGAATGGGCTTTCCAGTTCAGAATGATTCTAAGGGCGAGCGCACAGAGGAAGAGTCAACTGAGCTTGGTATGACCGTCACATCAGGGAGTGAAACTTCCCAGTCGGTCTCAGCCAGCGCTGGCTTCAGTGGCTGGGGCTTCTCTGCAGAATTTAGTGGCTCAACGGAAACGAGAACATTCAACACGCTAGAAACTTCGACCATAAAAAGAGTCACAGACACCTACACTTGCCCCCCTGAATCAGCTATCTTTGTCTATAAGCGGCGGTATAAACTTTGGTGCACAGCGTGGATTTTCTATGAGGAGAAAAATGCCTGGCTCGAGTCTGACAGAGGCAAGTTCGAAGGAGAATTTGTGAACGAAATCACTGCCAACCAGGAGCTGATCAGCCCAATTGACTTAACTGCCTATCGAAAGATCACCAATAACCCTCCTTCGGGCCTTGTTATTCCCACGACCGGCTTCAACGTCGACGGGAGGGGTATATTCTGGACGCTGTATGTCGCAATATTGGCGCAACAATACCCTTGTGTCCAACCGTAACCTGGATACATGCTTAAGTACGAGACCTACACTGGTTTAATGTCACATCAACTGGGCTAACTTTTAATACTAGTAGCAGCGCGGCACGCCCCCGGGGAATTCGAGGTAGTCAGAAAAAAACCGTGCATTCCTTTGCTAAGCCTTGGATTTCTAAGTCTTTCGGTCTTTTTGGTCATTCCTCGTGTGAATACAGAAGAAAAGCCCGAGAACCTATAAAATAAGAGGAACATTACGCAGATATTTTCAGGCTATTTATGTTCAGATCGTTGGGTTGTGTCGAGCTTGAGCGTGACCAAACCAACCTGTAAAACTAAACACCGTGAGCTCGAATGAAGCCTGCTTTTGCTAAAAGGCTTTCCTTGATCCTCTGCTATAGAACCTATCCGCATAACTGAGACGAGTAGGAAGTGGTAGAGTTCTGAACATTTCTGCCGTTGTAATTGTATTGTACCCTCTGTGATGGATGGCTCTCATGCTCTCGAATACTCGAGGATTAGTTGGCTACGATCTGATTCGTGTTGTCTGAGTATTTACCAAAGTGACGAGCTGTCCTCATATTGCCAATATCTGAAGACGTTCATATTCATTATGTAGATACTACTATCTGTGGTAATTGGGGTTACCTAATCACATTATAGAATCGTAAGGAAGCTGAATGCGCTTGGCCTCAACACAACAGCGCTAAGATCGATCTATCAGCTCCCCGTAGGATGCTTTTGTGGGTGCGTGTGAGTTTTGCGACTTACACAAGAGCAAGAAACGGCAAGAGCATATTGTCGTGTTTACTTCTATCATGTCTTTTTTCTATACCTTCAATCCATTGTTGAGTCGATAAATTGGCTATCCTGTAATCTTGAGGAGCTGTGTCAGAGGATAGTTGAGTGATTCAAGAGAATGACCGTTACAACATCTTTGCCTACAGCCGTTGTACCTCATCTTAATATTTTCTTTTAAGCTCCATCCCACCGCATGGTACTGAGAAGGCGCTACAATCTGTTTAGCTCCCGCTGTCACCTCTTCAGAGTAGACCAGATAAACCAAGCTTTTCTAGTATATCTCCGTGTGGAATGGATATTAACCAGCTTGGGACGTGGTACTATATCATCGTTGGTGACATCTTTTCGGTGAAAGCCATAGAGACAAGATATATATTTGCACAGGGTAATCTGTATAGTTACTCACTCAGGTGCCAGACCCCTGGAAACAAGCTGGCAACCCAACCAACCCGCGGAGTCCGAACCTTCCAGGGCAAATCTACAGATGAGGCTACTCGTCCCCATGTGTCTCTGAGAGTAGTGAAGTGCCACCGTCAATCATATTGTGAGTTTCGTAGGGGGAGATCCTCTGAGGGCTATGTCTGACGCTAACTCGGCACATAGCTCGCCCGTTTGCTAGTTTAGTGTCTACTATTCTCATAATTCCTTCCAACGAATAGGACGTTTTTCATACATGCTCACAAGAATGTGCCTATATAACCTTCTCGTGCAACTCTCTACGTAATGCTCAAGCAGATTTTGGCGTAGTAAAGCGCTATAACTTGGTCCCCTAGCAAGGCTTGAAGTCCTGTGAACATTGGGTGGGATGTAATATCAAACCACTGGACTTTCCTACATAACTATGTTGTTCAAGTATGAATGCCACGGCCCCCAGTCGCACCGGCTTGATTTCCACTTGCAAAGGCATTCTGCCGATAATTTTTCTATACATCAGATCTGCATGCTGATACATGCAGGAAAGCCATGCAGAACGCCTAACCAGTGCTTCCATGGTAGTTGAGCGATCAGGCCCTTGGATGGTCTGTGCGGGCCGGGCATCTCTGGCAATGTGGACAAAGGAGAGTGATAAACCGAGGTTGGAGGAAGAGTGGCAAGCGAATCTAGTGGATAGTGATAGTCTCTGGGAGGCAGGCCGATGGACTACCTATATTGCACAAAGACACTATGACTTGATCAGACAAAGAGATGAAATGATCTCTTTGGATATGTTTCACGCACGGTCATCGGCCATTTTAAGATAGTAAATGTCATACGACGACGCTTTACATCTCGGCCGGGGAGGATATAGTATAATCTTGACAACGTTCGCCGGAATGTGAATTGGGCACCATATCGGGGCAATGGTGATGGAATACAGTTCAGATTTAAGCTTTCTATGAGCATTAACCTAGACAAGTGGGTAGGTGGATCTTAGAGCGGGTAGTGATGTAAAACCTTCTGAATACCCCATATTGTTTGAGCTGTGGGTAGACTGTCTTATTCTAAACCACTCTAACACATTAGATAATGGAAGTGGAGACAGCATAAAGTACAAGCGGTAATTCTACTATTCTAGTAGTACTCCTAAATTGAGGGTCCGGTACAATCACCCATCAATGAGCCAATGTTGCTGAGATATCCGCATTCAGGCTCTCCAACGAAAGACCCCATCTCCCTCATTCTATGGGAAGGTTTGTGGCTGAAATGCTGGACACATTGTAGGCTCCCTGACGATCACGCGGGGGACAATCGCAAGTGGGACCGTTCTTGATCATAGCCTCCGTGTCAATGGCTTAGCAGAACAGTTCTTCAGGTGACACTTGACCTGGGGCGGACAACATTCCCGCTGATGCGTTCTAGGCTTTCCTCCACAAAGCCAACGCTTGGCCATGCCAAGCCAGTCTTGACTCCGGCGATTTCACTGCCAAGACCGGCCCAACCGTGGACGTCAGAGAACCAGTGGATAGCACAGCTGGCGGAGGAGCCTAGAACAACCGCACTGTGGTCATGACTTAATCTCCATTACTAGAGTTGCCCGGTTCCATAGCTGAGCCTCGTAAAAGATACAGCACCAGAGATAGCACTCCCAGGTCTTCTTGTGTACAGCCTCCTTCCATTAGCCTACGGGATGCTCCTAGAAGGTAAGAACTACTCACCATATGATTGTTAAACTTCACGGGTGGCAACATACTGTGGTCTGTGCGGACCCAGAAATCCGGATGTTCCGTACCCAAGATAATCCCGACCCTGGGACATGCTACTATATCTGGCGCTGATCAGTCAAATGCGGACAAGTTTAAAGAAGCTATGACCGGATGACCTGATAAAGAAAATAAGCCACATCTTGGCGTTGGTCCCATAAATGGTATCCAGCTGGATCATGTCTCACTCATGAAGCAGGGTCTGGGTAAACTCAGATATCGGGGTCCAGACAGCGTTTAATCGTACCCTAATCCCGCTGCTATGTATTGGCGATCTGGCAGCTCAATTCTGGACTAGCCAATATGGAAATGCGTTATTTCAATTTGCACTCGGCGTATGTCTCAGTTATGGTTCCAGAGATGTCATATTCACAAGAACGAATAGAGATGGACATTGCTTGTCAGGAGATTAGGCATCAAACAGCCAGACCTTGTCTCGATCGGCCTGGCCAGCTTACAATAGATTTCTTCTTTCGTCCATGTACGATTCCTGAGTGAATAGACACTTATAAAAGCAGTGATACACACACCCTATCTTAACTGTGAAACAACATCAACCACAACTAGTTCAGATACAGGAAATCGACCATTCTTACTTGACATTCAACATGAAGTCCCCCATCTATATTCTCACTGCCCTTCTACCCCTTACTCTATCCCTGGTCAATGCTGCTCCATCTGCGGAGCCTGAAGACATTGAGGACTCTGTTCTTGAAGACCGGGACACTTGTAGAGTCGAACGCAGATTTGACTACTACAAGTATCCCTGCCAGTCGAGTGATAGAATAGGCACCGCCAGGAGAGGCGACAGTGTCAATTTCCAGTGCAGATACAGGTGTGCTTTCAAATCACGAAACGCTGATTCGTACTTACCCGCCTGCAGAAACTGGTACAAGACTCCCAAGGGATGGGTCAGAGAAGAGGACAGGCCTCGTAATTGCCGTACGGTGACTCCTCATAACACCTATACTAACGATGATACTAACATTATGTAGAGGGACCTCGTCCCAACAGTTGCAGCTAGAGTCATACGGCTCTCCAGGCCTCAGAAAAATAGGGAGGAAGAACCCAATATACTGGTTTCTGGGAGGACAATTGCAAGATACTGGAGGTGGTTGGTGTAGTTCCATTATTCCTTTACTATGGTTTGATTTGCTGTTTAAGTTCTTTTGATAATCGATCGATTTTGTTGTTTCCTTATCTATAATTGATGAAACGTGAAATAACCAGGCTTTAGTGATAAGTTCAATGCGATTCTTTTTTATATACTGTTTTTTGGTTAAGCCCCCAACTAATCCGCATGACAACCTTGGCATCTCTCAGTGATATTATACTTTAAAGTTCTGGGTATCTTGGTTATCAACATGAGAAACTCTGGGGCATGTCTGGGTTGAGAGCTATCAATCCCCATGTAGTAGACTGCGGCATGATCCGCAATATCTATAGATATCCACAATCTATATTTGCAAATTGCAGATTTGGATATCATTTTATATCTGTAATTTATAGTTTTGTAGATTTAGATATAAATCCTATATTTATTAGATATTTATAGATATCTAATAGATCTTAAATAATATAAATATAGTAAGGCTTATAATTTTAAAAGATATATATTATTTTTATATTTTTTTTCCAATATTTTTTATATAATAGTATTATTATAATAAAATAATTATAATTTCAGTTTATTTATAAACTATAATTTAATTGATTTTTAGTTTTTTAAAAAAATATTATTTTTTTTAATAGCTTTGTATATCGTATGATATCCGGTGCAAGGACAAGATTCACAAGAACACGGACTCATACCACTTTTCCCAGTTTCACCAAGTTTACAGTGCTCGAGGCCTTTGCAAACTCCTACCTAGCATAAGTATTAAATTCTTGGTCTTGCCCTTGCTCAAGTGCAAAATCTAGAAGCTCAGTCCACTAGGGTCAATCCGTGTCCATCCGAATAACTACAGCTACTCCCTAAGTCCTTATATTGATATTAATATATTAGGACAAAATGAAGTGCTCTTCTTTTACTCTCTCTGCTCTT